ATGTGGACGCTGTGTTGAGTGATAAAGAAAATGTTATTTTTGGCGTCCCTCAGGGTAGCGTTTTAGAGCCTACGCTGTTTTTGGTCTGTATTAATGAGCCTTGCAAACTTTCTATTCCTCACGATGACATCTTCTCCTATGCTGACGATACAGCTGTTACTTTTTCGGGAGACACTTGGGAGGAAGTGAAAACACGTACAGAATCGGGACTTAAAACTATAGCAGCCTGGTTAACTAACAACCTACTCTCATTAAACACGCATAAAACAAATAATATTTGTTCCGCTATGTGAAATTCCACTCAACCACCAGCCAACTTCAGCATTAAAATACACACTTGCCAAGACAGCCTACTTTCTAGGTGTGACTGTGCTTAAATATTAATAGAGTAGACATAACAAAATATTTAGGTTTTATTATTGACCAGAGACTGTCTTGCTATAACCATATTGAATTAATAACTGGCCGCATAAGAAAATTAATGTGGATTTTCAAAAAGTTAAGACATGTAACAACCCCCGAATTACTAAACAAAGTATATACATCACTGGCTTAATCTGTTCTTACATATTGTATCTCAGTGTGGGAAAGAGCTTTAAATACAAGATTTTTTGAGGTGGAGCGAGCTCAAAGAGCCCTGCTTAAGGTCTGCTATTTTCAACCATACCGATTCCCCACTACCAACCTTGATAATTTTACTGGTGTCTTGTTAGTTCGAAAGTTATATATTTTGTTCTTATTGCTTAAAATTCATAAATCTATCAGGTATGAACAAGACAAGGCAAAAGAAGAAACGACTTAGTGTTATATAGCGATCGCTGTAAAACGACATTTGCCTCAGTACAATATGAGAAAAGGGCAGTATACTTATATAATAAAATAAATAAAATCTTAAGCATATATCCATTGCATAGCATAGAAATTAAAAAGAAAACAATAGAATGGTTGAAAACTTTAAATTACAACGAAACCGAAACACTTTTAGAAAAAATTACTTTACTTGTTACTCATAATTATTAATTTACTAAATATACCATACCTCAACATGCACCACCTACACATACATTACACAATCACACAACTAACAACTACGGATATTTTATTGTAAAAATACTATATAAGTTTCACTATAAGTCAAAAATCTGTGTTACCCAAGTTCTAAACACTAATTTATATAAATGAAGGACGGGAAGAGCGGAGCCTCCTAACACAAGTTTTCTAACTTAAAAGGAGTGTTCCAATAATGTGTTTAATTTTAAGTATTACTGGTCCGAAAATAAAGATTTTTGAATTTGATTTTGAAGTAATTAATTGATATTTGTCTTGTGTCTTTTTCATGGACTCAGCCTTTTGCCAATATAATATAGATATTGTGAAAGCAATCCTACGTTATTGCACTTTCTAACGTATGTAAATAAACTTTAAGTACTTTGATTCATGGTCGAAAACTACGATGATATTTAAATAAAATGGTCGATATGTGTTCCTATATCATTCATGTATATCATTTGTATTTACAGAAACGAATGCATTTCTCTATTAGTTTATCTTTTTGTCTATTAATTTTATAAAAGGGAGATAAACTTCCAAAACCTTTAAAGTCAATAAAGAAGATTAATGATGACAAAATGATACAATCTCTAGAATTATATGAATATGCATGTACGAGTATTAAGTTGGTTTTTGAAAGGCATTACTGTTATCATATTACTTTAAGCAAATTATAACAATGTACGACTAATATGATATGTAATTTTTATGATGTTAATATGTATTTTTGTAATTAAGTATATATTATAATAACTATATAACTAAAATTAAATTATTACGTAAATAGCATTATATTAAATTTATAAAATATTCACTGGGCTTAAAGGAAAAGGAGGATTTTTACAACACATCTGTGGCCTTCTTTGTTCAAAGGTGTCCATGGGCTGCAGTATCCACTTACCATCAGGTGTGTTGTAAGTTTATTTTTTACTTGAATTTTAAATAAAAAAAAATAATTAAATATTAAAATATTCCGATTTTCCGATTCCTATGGTAACACTGTACTCTATTTATCTGTCAACGATATTTACATTCGGCCTTTTTGGATAAATTTTCCGTCAACAGTCGGTCCCAAAGAGAATATAATCACTACTAAACGTACGTCGTACGTACGTACGTCGTCGGTTCAAGAAGATTTGTCTGTCAATTAATATGGTGCAGGGTGCAACACGGTGAGGTTGTTCTTGGTTTATAGGAAAAAAATGACCTCTTATGTCCAATATTATCAACGAATTTTATGTAATATTGTTGAATTATATGTAAAAAACTTATTTTAAATATTTGGAACTTACTTATTTATTTATTAGTGGTAGAGCCACGTATTCATAGAATACCTGCGTAAAACAGCAAACTAGTGTTGTTGTGTTTCGTAAGGTGTATGTAGAGAACCGGAGATACATTTTACTGGAAAAGAGGCATTCGATCTATGGGCAACGGCGTCAGATTACCATAAAGTAAACTGTATGCTCGTTTGCCACTCTTATTCTTTAAAATATCGGAGATAAGGAAAAATATTATCAATTTTTGCTCAAAAATATATTAATGTAGTGCAAAAGTAAATGAAAATTAATTCAAAGATATTTTATTTAACTCATTAATATGTTTACTGATTAATGTTGCTATTAACTTTTTCTATAAAATTTATTTTTTATTTAACAACTTATTAAGTTTACGTATATTATTTTAATTATACGTGGTAGAGTCATGCTGCAGCTATATTAGTAGTATAGTTGTAGCACGAATGGGTCGGCTCGACCGGGGAAGGACCACGCTCTCACAGAAAACCAGCGTAAAATAGCAGCTTAATGCTGCTGTGTTTCGTATGGTGAGTGTAGAGAACCGGAGACTCTTTTTACTGGCAAAGAGGCATTCCATCTTAGTCCTCACGGGTGACAACGCATCTGCATCTTGAGTCTTCATTGAGGATAGATGTAGATGTCTATGGGTCACAGTAACCACTTATCATCAGGTGGACTGTGTGCTTGTTTGTCACCCTATCCTATAAAAAAAAAAATTTGGATGTATTTTTTATAAAATTTTACCGCGTAAAGTAAACCAATTATACTATCACACAAGACTTTGTTCGTTTCTTTTTTACAGGTATAGGTGATAGAGCCACGCTGCAGCTGTATTATGGCTGCAGCACGAATGGATCGGCACGACTAGGCTAGGACCACGCTGTCATAGAATGCCAACGTAAAATAGCAGCTTAATGCTGCTGTGTCTCGTATGGTGATTGTACAGGACCGTATACCCTTTTTACTAGAAACGAGGCATTCCATCTTAGTCCCCATGGGTGACAACACATCTGCATTTTGATTCTTAATCAAGGATAAATGGAGATGTCTATGATTCACAGCATCCAGTTATCATCAGGTGGACTATGTGCTCGCATGTCACCCTTATCCTATAAAAACATGTTTCTTTACATTTATTTTGCTATGTAAAATATTTTTAAGCAATATATTTCCATAATGCTTGGTAGGTAATGCATAAAATGGGAAAGGGGAATAAAACGTATTATAAATATATGTGAATAACATTTCTCTGTCTATTCCACAATCTACTTTTGATGCAGAAGTGTAAATGCAATCCGCATTAAATTCATATTTATTGTAATAAATCATGTAATTAACCGGGTAGTAACGGTGTAAGACTATACACTATACCATATCGCCCCGTGGGTGTCATAAGAAGCGGCAGCGGGAAACAAACCAGGAGATGGGCAGTAGCGTATCTCTAAAAACTATTAGAAGAAACTGCGGCAACTATGGCATATATCCCCATTATGATGCATTCTACGGGGAGACCTATGTTCGGTAACTGGACTTTGATAGGCTGTAATGAATGAATTATTGCAATAAAATATTAGAAAATATGCGTTATTATAGAAAGAAACTGTTCAACGAGCGAGATAAAATTATTAATTTCTTAATGTACCTAGATATGAATCTTGTTCATTGCTCTTATGAATTTAAATGAAATTTCTGATAGCTATGGACAACTAATATGTTCAGATGTAGAAGAATTAAATTATATAAGTAGTACGTGAAATTTTTAGGCACTTATCAGCTTACTACACCAATAAAAATATTACAAAAAAATGTATCACCATACTTAATATAATATATCAAAATTATGAAATATAAGTCAAAAATAAATTAATCCTGCAGAAAACATTTAGAATGAGATGATAATTCAATAACACTAGAAACAAATGTACCAGAGCGACGACACGCTAGCCTCAATTTAGTCGACTCGAACCTATTACGAGTGTATAGTGTCGCCAACTTTCAGTGAAACGCCGTCGTAAAGCGCGATATCCCGCTGCGAGAACACTTTATTTTCCTATAAAAGCGTTTTATCCACGTATAAAAGCTTAAATCCGCGCGGAGCTTTCTCCCGGCGGCGAGTCGGCAAAAAGAGCATTAGCGCGGCCCCGCGGCAACATGGCAGCGGCACGCCCCGAATGCGCCGCGCCGCCCGTTGGCCGATGCCGCCCTCGGCCCGCCTCCGAGCGCCTCGCCGCGCCGCGCTCAGTTCTAGCCTGCTGTTTGTGCGGGCCGCCCGCGTTCTGCCACTACGACACTTCGGACACGCTATACTCGAGTGCCGCGAACTGACAGTGTGTAAACTTTTGTGATCGAGTGCCTTACGCGCCACCGGCCGGACGTTGAGGATTGATTGACGTTGAAGTTCGGGGTGCAAGGATAAGTGTGGAGTTGGGCACCGCGCATCCGCCCCTCGTCGGATTGCAATTCGCTAGGAGGCACTGTGATGTGGCGAGTGCGGTGACGGGCGGAGGCGGCTTCGAACTGGGTGCGAGCGAGGTGCTGGGCGCGGCGCGGTCGTGGCGCGCGCGTGCGCTGGATGCGGTAGGAGCGGGCGCGGGAGCGGGCGCGGGCGCGGGCGCTGGAGCGGCGGGCGCGGGCCCGGGCGGCGCCGTGGCGATGACGGTGCAGCGCGACGAGCGCGACGCGCGCGCTCCGCGCACACGCTTCATGATCACGGACATCCTCGATGCAGCGCCGAGGGACCTCAGCGCGCATCGGGACTCCGACTCTGATCGCTCAGCTACCGACTCACCAGGTGGGCCTGCTAATAAGCCTTAGCTTAAGGATGAAAGTCTTTTGCAGTTTTACGTAAAATGAATTGCTGCAATTTGGATCTGAATGTACTGCGATTATTTCCACATCTAATCCTGCCTCTAATCGTATGGCATACAAGTGGATACGGGATAAAAGTTAGCGTGTATACTCTATTTTTTTATAGGATAGGATGACAAACGAGCACACAGTCCACCTGATGGTAAGTGGTTTCTGTGGCCCATAGACATTTACATGTATCCTCGTTTGAGAATCAAAATACAGATGCGTTGTCACCCGTGAGGACTAAGATGGAATGCTTCTTTTCCAGTAAAAAGGGTCTCCGGTTCTCTACACTCACCATACGAAACACAGCAGTGTTAAGCTGCTATTTTAAGCTGGTATTCTGTGAGAGCGTGGTACTTCCCCGGTCGAGCCGACCCATTCGTGCTACAACTATACTACTAATATAGCTGCAGTATGGCTCTACCACGTATTAAAGTATAAAATATTACTGTAATAGTTGATGGCATTCAATTATCTTTAAATTCCTGAACTAAGATTAACTAAGTATTAGTATTGTAATAAAAATGGATAGGTGTTCCATAAAATGTGTAGCAAATATTGAACACTATTATTATTTAAAAGAAATAACACAGTCAAGTACTCTATTCTGAATCAATTTATTTACTGAAATAATCAAAATTTTGTTCTTCATTAAATATTAGGTTACAATGAAGTCACATTATTAAAACATAGTAATACACAATACGAGTATAAAAAAGTTTTAGTTGAAAATAAAATAAGACGAGATCATGAATGTACAAGACAAGTCTAAGGGGCGTAACTTCTTACAAAAGACTTCAACGCTTCACCGCTTTTGATACTTACATTTTATGGAAAAAAAACTACAATTTCAAAATAACTAATTGCAATGAAATATGACTTGATAGTTTTATAGAGTAGTGTTTATTATGTTTTTATTTGGTAATTGGTTTGAAAATTTTGGAAGCCAGAGAAAAACCAACAGGAAACCCAAAATATATTTTTCAAAGCGTTTCAATATAATATATTTTCTCTTTCATATCTTTTTACGAGGTAGAGCCATGCTGCAGCTATATTAGTAGTATAGTTGTAGCACGAATGGGTCGGCTCGACCGGGGAAGGACCACGCTCTCACAGAATACCAGCGTAAAATAGCAGCTTAGTGCCGTTGTGTTTCGTATGGTGAGTGTAGTGTAATATTACCAGGATACCCCTCTTACTGGAAACGAGGCATTGCATCTTTTTCCTCAGGGGTGACAATGCATCTGCATTATGATTCTTTATTGAGGATAGATGTAGATGTCTATGGGTCACAGTAACCACTTACCATCAGGTGGACTGTGTGCTCGGTTGTATCCCCCTCCTATAAAAAAAATCTTGCTATGGACCACCTCATTTAAAGAGATAAATATCATCAATATATTATATTCATGAATAAAGATTTCTATATATTAAATTCTGTTCTTATCAACATTAATATTTAAGCTTCAGTAATATATTCGAATGGCTGTAGAAATACAACGATGTTATAATATGTACTTATTTTTCGGTAACGTTATAAGGGGTTAGAATTTCGGTAAATTATATAACATCATGTAAGTACGTGCAAAATTGAGTTTTTTTTTTAAATTGGTAATTACTGTTTTGGTCATTTAGTATGTATTTATAAGTTGATATGTGGTGGTGATATTATTTGATTGAAACTCTGATTATTTTTTATTATGTATTATTTTGAACTTTTTCAGTCAACTAACAATTCCCACTCCTGTGTGTAGACTTTCTACGATTAATGAAAGGGTTTTTGAAGCACCATAAAGTTCGCCGCGCTGCCGTAATGTGTGTTGGCGGATACCATGACTTGAAATATTTATAATTTTTCAGAAATGAAAATTTTCTCAAGTTTTCATTCAACGCCGAGCATAAGATAAATCAGCATTTAATATTGCAATTACTTAATCTATTTGTGCCGGTTGATATAGAACTCTTACTCTTACTCGCGTACTATGAATTTTTAATTTCATCTCTGATACTTCTACTTACTATTAGGTATTGATTTTTGATTGAGTATACAAATAATTTTATTGATTTCTACTAAACTAAATGTGTTAGTAAAGCCAAAAGTTAATTTTATGGTGACAATAAAGAATTTCTTAAAATTTTTAATATACAAGTACCTACATATTTTTAAATTAAAGTCCTTAAAAAAATCAAAGAAATAAATGTTTCTAAATTTTCGAGTCGAGGCTTAAAGTAGCCGTAAATAACATTATTTTTCAACATTGCAATCTTCAATCCTTGTCGATCGTCGTCAGTTTTGTTTCATTATCGCACCACATTTATTTATACCAATCAAAAGATTACATAACGTATTCTGATACGTTATTTGTTTGCTCTTAATGATAACAATGTAGGTCATTATTTTAATTAAATGAAAATTTGTGCTAGGGGTCCTAAATATAAATACACGCTATGCCATATTTACAAAAAAATAACTTTAAAAAAGTAAAAAATGAAGTTAACATATGATTCCATAAATAAAAACAGAGAACATACATAGTAACGTCTGTAATATTCGAGATGGTAGGCAGAGTCTAAAGAGCAGCAAGCTACTCGGACCACGTTAAGATAAAAATTTATAGGTTTAGGTGGAAAATTTAATAGATAAATAATATTTTAATAGATAAATGTTTCTCCATTAAGTAAACTGGCTTAAAATAAGTGATGAATGTTATTCAAGAACTAACAAAAGCAACGGCTGTTTAGAAAACAAGTTTGCTTGACGTTAAAAATGTTGAATGTCGACGTTAACTCATTAATCTAGAGGTAGAATATAAAATCGTTGTATATAATTTTAATTTATTAATTTACATTTGTTTACTGTAACCTCAACTTAATTATAATTCATTATTTGCTATTAATTTTTGCTGGGAGCTAATTATAGTATCTTAAGCAAAACCTCTTTATCAAGATTTAATTAACATGGAATATATATATATATATATATTAAAAGATGCGTTTAATTAAAACATTATATTTGAAGTTTTTGATTTGGTAATGAATTGGTCTACCATGATTTTTTTAGATATTAGATTAGCAGCCTTTTAGGATCGGTTTATTACCTGTAAAAACCTAGTATTTGATATAATCCATAGACCGTGTGCTCATAGCATAATTACTGCAGCCCATAATTACTTATTATATTATAGGACATAATTAATTACTTTTTAAATACGAAGCATTTATTTTAATATTGAAGCGGAAAAGAGCCAGCAGTGTACTCGATGGTAAGTAGCCCTGCACTACTGTACTGCAGCCCATTGATACTCATAACTTACTACCATTAATGAAGTTGTTGTCTTTGTGGACTAAGTTGAAATGGCTCACAGAATTTGGCACATAGCAGAGAGAACACTGCTTGGCGGCAGAACAAGGTGTTACCAACCCAGATGGACTTGTGCCGAGAAAGAGTTCTAACACTTAGTAAAAATTATATCATTTCTTCTTCTTCTAGCTGGCCTTATCCTTGAAATCCCTTATCACTCACATAATATCCATCACATAGTCCGTCCTTCTCTTCTTGGGCTTCTTTACTCTTATCCATCTTGTCCATCCATTTTCATATTCAACATTCTACTTGTTACATGATTTTCTTCTCTTTGCATAGTATGCATATATTTTTTTGATAAATTAATTTTTGATTCTATCAAGTTTTGTCATACCACACATCTATCTTAACATCGACATTTCCTTCAAATATCTGTGCTATTCTTTTAAATTCTTCTTACATCTCTTTCGTAGCCAAACACATCTTATGATCGTCGTTAGGAGAACACCCCGGATTGCAAAATGTTCATGTCACCTTGCGCCATTTTATGTCATCATCATCATCACTACAGCCTTTCATAAGTCCACTGCTGAACATAGGCCTCCCCCAAGGAATGCCACAAAGCACGGTCCTGAGTCACCTGCATCCATCGACTACCTGCATGTCTTACCAGAACGTCACTCCATCTAGTGATGGGTCGCCCTACACTTCGCCTACCGGTACGAGGCTGCCACTCGAGAACATTTCTTCCTCATCGGTTATCGGTTCTTCGAGCTATATGGCCGGTCCACTGCTACTGCCACTGGCGTTTCTACTGCGGATATCCTCATTTTTAAGTTTATCACGCAGAAAAACCCCGAGCATAGCCCTCTCCATAGCTCGCGTAGCGACCTTGAGCTTCCTCATACGGCCAGCAGTGAAGGACCACGTCTCAGATCCGTAAGTCATCACTAGCAACACGCACTGGTTGCATCCCGATATTATTCTATTTCTTATGCTTTGGTATATGTTGCCATCATTGTGTACTATATAATTGAGGTACCGAAAAGAGAATGATAACAGTTATAGTTGCTTATAAATTAAATGTAACTACATGATCAAAAGTTGTTACTGTGTTTGTTTAAATATCGAATTTTAATAACTTTTTCTTATATATATATATATATATATATATATATATATATATATATATATATATATATGTGTGTATGTATGTTATATGAAATTCAAGTTTCAAATACATGTGGTTGTCTGTCTGTCCTGCCCAAATTTAGATTATAAGCTATTAAGTCACTGACATGATATGTACTCTTTTACAATTAGTAACTTTGAGACTAATTGTGACTTGGTGATTGAGGCGTCCCGATTCCAAGTGGTCTTCATATTAGCCGCTAACCATATCATTGGTTCTCTAATCTTTGTTTATATAGTTATTTATAGATTGGAATTCCATCCAATCAGTAAAAAAGTATTAGAGTCTATTAAAGCAGACAACTGAATATAGGCCTCCCCCATTGATTGCACCGTAGTGGGGATTTTGGTATAGGTGCCACGCTTGGTAAGCGAGTTGGGGATCGCAGATTTTTATAATTTTGAAATTTTGTCATGATGCTGCTTTGCGTTCCAGTTTCTGT